CTGGGAGGCGCCGCTGTCCACGATGGTCAGGCCGCTTTCCGGGACCGGCATCGAGATCCCCGCCTGATCGGTCACCTGGCCGGTGATCCCCTCGAGGCTCATCTGGGCCTCCCTGCCCAAGACCGTGATTCCGCTGATGTGGTATTGGGTCGGGCCCAACCCAGCTAAAAGTGGCGTTACCTTGGTGTTATAGGTATCATATAGGCGGCCACAGCATGGGCGCCAAATCGTCGCCATATTGAGGGCCGTGGTGACATCGCCAGGCTTGTTCGAAGAGGCCCAGATACAATTTGCGTTATATCAAATGGGAAAAAGGGAGGAGTGGGATGAGGGGAGAGCTTGGAGGGGGGAGTGAGAGATGGGGGATGGGGAAAGGACGACGAGGGCAGGCGGCAGGGGTGCACATACTGGGGCAGATGGCGTCGCATGAATCTCGGAAGCACCGTCGAGATGGAATGCCACTCACCGCGCCGTTGGGTCAAGTTCGGCACTGGATTCGCCGGCGTCGGTGCCTGTGGCGTTCCGCTGGTGCCAGGGGTGTCGGGCCGGCAAAAATATTTTCGCCAGCCCCAGCCGGCGGTCACCGCGGATTTTCGCCAACCCTGTAAAAAATGGGGCCGGCAACATATCGGTGGCCTTGTTTGGCACCACGCGGGGGAGGCCGGCAAAAATATGTTTGCCAGCCCCTCCCCGCTGGCACCACGCGGGGACGGAAACGATGGCGGCATCCAGGCATCGTTCCTATTCGGTTGCCCGGGGCTCCGCTGGAGGCCAACCGAGGCATCAGGAGCATCCCAGGGGGTGCAGAAGCATCGGGAACTCATGGAGTGCAAGCTTCAGGCGATCCACAATTAGAATTGCAAGCGCCAACTCTCACACATACCCATGCACGTCGCACTTTTTCCCTCCATCATGGCCCGCGCCTTGGCATGACCATCTGAAGACCAACGCGCGCCTGGCAACTTATGTTGTGTCACCGCCCAGATCTTGCCAGGCATGCGGTGTCACTGCGCCGAACTGCTCGAGGAGCCCGCCTGGCAGGAGAGGAGGCAGGTCCTCCTCTGTGACCACGAACTCGATGGTCCCGCTCTTGCCGCAACGTCGCCGAGCCACCGATAATTACTTCGAGGTGTCTGGACACTCTTCTCGATCCAGTTGATCTGCATGCCTCGTTGCCGCAGGTCTCCCTCGAGCTTCCTCAAGGCCCGGCGGCCGATGATCGGCTGGGAGGCGCCGCTGTCCACGATGATCAGGCCGCTCTCCGGGACCAGCATCGAGATCCCCGCCTGATCGGTCTCCTGGCCGGTGATCCCCTTGAGGCTCATCTGGGCCTCCCTGCCCAAGACCGTGATTCCGCTGATGTGGTATTGGGTCGGGCCCAACCCAGCTAAAAGTGGCGTTACCTTGGTGTTATAGGTATCGTATAGGCGGCCACAGCATGGGCACCAAATCGTCACCATATTGAGGGCCGTGGTGACATCGCCAGGCTTGTTCGAAGAGGCCCAGATACAATTTGTGTTATATCAAATGGGAAAAAGGGAGGAGTGGGATGAGGGGAGAGCTTGGAGGGGGGAGTGAGAGATGGGGGATGGGGAAAGGACGACGAGGGCAGGCGGCAGGGGTGCACATACTGGGGCAGATGGCGTCGCATGAATATCGGAAGCACCGTCGAGATGAAATGCCACTCACCGCGCCGTTGGGTCAAGTTCGGCACTGGATTCGCCGGCGTCGGTGCCTGTGGCGTTCCGCTGGTGCCAGGGGTGTCGGGCCGGCAAAAATATTTTTGCCAGCCCCAGCCGGCGGTCACCGCGGATTTTCGCCAACCCTGTAAAAAAATGGGGCCGGCAAAAAATCGGTGGCCTTGTTTGGCACCACGCGGGGAAGGCCGGCAAAAATATGTTTGCCAGCCCCTCCCCGCTGGCACCACGCGGGGACGGAAACGATGGCGGCATCCAGGCATCGATCCTGTTCGGTTGCCCGGGGCTCCGCCGGAGGCCAACCGAGGCATCAGGAGTGTCCCAGGGGGTGCAGAAGCATCGGGAACTCAAGGAGTGCAAGCTTCAGGCGATCCCCAATTAGAATTGCAAGCGCCAACTCTCACACATATCCATGCACGTCCCACTTCTTCCCTCCATCATGGCCCGCGCCTTGGCATGACCATCTGAAGACCAACGCGCGCCTGGCAACTTATGTTTGGTTACCGCCCAGATCTTGCCAGGCATGCGGTGTCACTGCGCCGAACTGCTCGAGGAACCCGCCTGGCAGGAGAGGAGGCAGGTCCTCCTCTGTGACCACGAACTCGATGGTCCCGCTCTTGCCGCTGCGTCGCCGAGCCACCGATAATTACCTCGAGGTGTCTGGACACTCTTCTCGACCCAGTTGATCTGCATGCCTCGTTGCCGCAGGTCTCCCTCGAGCTCCCTCAAGGCCCGGCGGCCGATGATCGGCTGGGAGGCGCCGCTGTCCACGATGATCAGGCCGCTTTCCGGGACCAGCATCGAGATCCCCGCCTGATCGGTCTCCTGGCCGGTGATCCCCTTGAGGCTCATCTGGGCCTCCCTGCCCAAGACCGTGATTCCGCTGATGTGGTAGTCCTGGTTGTCGTCCGCCTCTATGGCCGCGAACGTGGACGCTTCGACCGCAGGCCCTCCGGGCCGAGGTCTGCCCCTGCCATCTCATTTCTCTTTGGGACGGTGAGAGCTCTTGCACTCCTTGTGCCAGTGCCCTACCTCTCCACAATTGCCGCACTTCGTGATCAGCTTCAGCTGCGACGGGGTGAGCCACGTCTTCTTCTCCCAGAATCCCCGATCTCGCGAGAGTGCCGTCTTCAGCTGCTGGTTCTCCTTCCACGTCTTCTTGGTCTTCCCGATCTGCGCCAGAGTCTCGACCACCTCAGGCTCCACGAGACCCTTCTCGGAGATCTCGACTAGCACCAAGGCCTCGTCCTCGGAGTCGAGCTCGTCGGCCCAGTACGACCACTCGTAGATCGGCTCCTCGATGGACGTGGACTTTCCGGCGTGGGGATCGGGAGAAGGCAGCACATTTTCTGGTTCCATATTCAGAAGTGATGACTGCTTGCCGTCACTGCAGACCTTCCCTCCAGTGTCCATCTTCGGCAGCGCCCAGAGGATGTCTTCACCCCGCATCGAGCCCTTCGTCAAGCTCTTCAAATTATGTCTGCCCTGCTCGCTGAAACGAGCACCTTGCATCAGCAGCATACCCTGAATCTTCTCCGGGATCTCCATCCCGATGCTCTTTGCTTTGTCAAATTTGACGTTTGCGCCTCTCGGCGAAGGTGTGTAGGTCCTCATCCTTCTTCCGCTCTGTATCCTGCATGGCCTCATTGCCCGTCCGGAAGAGATCGTCGTCCTGTCGTTCGCCGGATTTGAAGCCCATCCTCTGTAGCATGAGCTCTACCGTCAGCTCGCTGTCCGGAATGTCCTCGAGGAACGACCGAATATCCCAAGGCAGGATCTCCAGTAGTCTGTCCGCTGCCTGCACCTCGCTCAAGTGCAAGCCGTCTTTCCAGCGTTTCACGTACTGCTTCCATAGTCTGAACTTCTCCCAGCCTGGCCAGGAAGGAGCTGGCCTGCGCTGGGTCCACTAGCCCTGCCACCAGCCGTGGCTGCCCTGCCACGAGCTGCCTTGAACCCAGGCCTGTACTCTCCTGGATCAGCCTTTCCACTCGTCGTCTTGATCCCAAGAGTGTCGTTGCCAGAATTTGTCTTTCCATTCCTTCCACGAGCCTGTTGTCCTCATGGAAGGCGGTGTGTACTGGTCGTCTTCGCTCGCGTGCTTGGTGGCGGACTCCACCCACTCCGTGTTTGCCTTCACTCCTCTTGCGACGGATCGCAGTCCGTCCAGTCGTCGACCATGCTCCAGCCTGCCTCATGGGATGCTGCCGCACTGGGGTCTTGACCGGCGAGACCCTGGAGGTTCGGCGAGTCCTTTGGCGGCGCCGAGGTTGGAGAAGCCCCAGTGCCCAGCCGTATCATCTGAGCCACTTTGCCCGCGATCTTGGTTATGTCTGCTTCTGATAGCCCATCTCTGCCGCCTGCTGAGGCGGCTGCACTCGAGTGACTCATCACCCGTCTTCAGTCCTTGCACCCTCGTTGGTCGCCCTCGCCCTGCCGTGGATCGGTAGACCGTCCTCCAGCGCACCCGCCCTGCGCCTCGCCAGAAGTCGTCTGATGAACCACGCTCCGCCTACCACTGTAGGCACGTCGGGTTCAGGCGGCCATCGCAAGATATACTGAATAGGATGCTTTTGCACTCTGTGCGCACAAATCCCTTGAGCCAGCGTGTCGCGGATGTGCACATGCAAACGGACAAGAAGCACAGATGCAGAGAGCAAATTCATAGGCAGGATAGTCAGGACGAGGGGGAGCCATATGATTCCACACCGGGAGGGCCATCTCGAGAAGCCCCTTTGTTTTCTCAGAAGCTCCTCCCCGCCTTTTGAGAAGGTTGCCGAACCCCCCCGGGCTCAAGAGCATCAATGACGAGCTCGCCGTCTTTCAGAATATGCGTGTTTCTCGCTCGCTCGTCGACCAAAGACTAGGTATTCTTGCCAACCGTACCGCGCCGATGGGATCGTCCGGCTCGAGCGGCACAGACGCTCGGAGGCAATCTCGCGGCGGCGCCGCTCTGTCCTCTCATAGGCGCTTGAGAGTATCTGAGGCAGAGTTGGGCCCCCTGTCGAGACGAGGGTATTCTTAAGGCGGGCCTGTCCCTCTACAGGATGAAAATTCAAAAATAGTTTTGAAAAATAGTCGGGAGACGATTTTTCTTGTATGTATTGACCATGTGGGGGTCTTTTTGGGCATGTCTTAAATATTTCGTCCAAAATCCGCCTGTAGGAGGCCATGCCCGACCTAAGGGTATTCCCCCAAGTCCAGATTTGTTTCCCGACTGAGCGCGATGTTTGCCGCGCATCGCGCAGCAAAAGTAGATGTCTCTGCTCCCCGAGCCTCCCCCCCTCCTGGGCGCGCCGCTGGCAGGCGTGCGGGCTGCCGTTGCCGCACTGGCAGAGCCGGATCGCCAACTGCGCCGACCAGTCACACGAGCCCGCGGGCATCGCAGAGGGCGAGGCAGACTGGCCACACTCGGGGGAGCTGTGGTCCTTCTACCCCCCTGGGGGCCCCATCGATGTCGACACCCCTGTCGAGAGCAGGGCTTGAGCTAAACGGTGTTCTGGCGATTTCGTGGGCCGTTTGCGTTTTGGTTTTGATTTCGTTTCGCAGCAAGTGCAGAGCGAAGATAGAACGAAGGAACACACGAAACCAAACCGAACACCAAAATCATTGTTCAACGCGAGCCCTGATCGAGAAGTCGTCTACACGATGGGCTCCCCGACGTGGGTAAGGAACATAGCCTCTCCCGGCTGTGGCTGGCCGGCGAGGTGGCCCCGGGCGCCGTGCTCGGCTACGCCCCGCCGCTGCAGGAGTCGGCACGAGCGAATTGGGTACGGAAAGAGCCCTGCCTCGGAGAAAGAAATAGTGCAAATAGACATGTACTCCGAGTTTCTTAATAAGCGTCGGGGGGGCGTCAGCCCCGCCGACAGCCCCACACCGACCCCCGTCGCGGGCAGCCACCGCGCGCCGAAGGCTCTCCGACCCCCGTTGCGTCGCGACGACGAGGCGAGGTTGATCCTCGTCGGTGCGGTACCCCCCCACGCTTGGTAAAAAACCCAGAGCATGGTGAAAAGGTGCCCATACCGCTACCCCTCCCTCGTTTGGGCCTCCTGGGAGGCCCTCGTCGCCACCGCTGGATTCGCCTCGAAGCCCTAGTCAGAACGCGCCCCGGGAGAGGTCCGGGGAGCAGCTGTATCTGTACCTGCTGGTTTCCCCAGAGATCCGAGCCCTGCCCTCGCCGATCGACGATGCGGGCAACTCGACGGGCGGCAGAGGTAGGGCTCGGAGTACGTCGAGCACGTGGCGAGATCCGGACCCTGCCCCCGCTTCCCATCGATTCGGGAGAATCGACGGTCGCTGGGGGGCAGGGTTCGGACGTCGCCACTCAAGAGCGGGGACGACAACCGACAGCAGTTCCTTTCCGTTTGGAGCAGAACTCGCTGTCGGCGTCGCCGCGGACGTTGTCCGTTTGAGACAAGAGGTCGCTTATCCAACAGCGGCCGCTGTCTGTTTCGACAGCATTTGCTGCTGGGCATGGGGCATGGTCCCCGTCCGTTCCGTACCCAGTTCGGGTTTCTCGAGAGGAGAGGAGAGTCAGCCTCGACGAGAGTCAGCCCCTCGTTGACAGGAAGAAGACGGCGAACCGCGCACTGCTCCACAGCTTCAACACGTCGCCAGAGGAGAAGGACGTCGAAGAGGGGAGAGAGAGAAAGGGACAGCGAGCGCGCAGGCCCAGGCGTGAACTTTCGGAGGCCTGCGCGCGGGATCGGCGCTGAACGCCCCCTCCCGGCGAGCGGAGGGGAGCGTCCCGCGCCGATCCGAGAAGTCCGCGCGGAGCTCGGCAGGTTGTCGCGTGTGCCGCTGCTTGCCTCTCCCGGGGGAGGGGGGGAGGGAGGAGCGAGCAGGGAGAGGGACAGCGAGAACGAGGAAGTGGAGAGTATGATTGGCTCGTCTTCTTAATTCTCATCGCTGTTCGATGGAACGCCCCCGAGGGGGCAGACACCGCCGCCCCACTGTTTTTGGAGCGCGGTCGCGTTGATACGGTGTGGGAAGACGTGAATCCCGCGACTGGACTTGGTGAGGCACGCTATAGAACAAAGTGGACCACTTGAGCAGAAGTGGGTCACACAGATGCGATGCCGCCCCAAGAAGGCTCGAGCACTTGCCAAGAACCTGCTCCTGGAATCCGAGGAGGGCCCCGTCAAGCCGCCAGCACGGCCGCAAAGAGACCCGAAACAACCCAACAACAGTCGGGCTCGGCCCAGAAAAGGCGCCAGTGAGCCCCGAGTGGGGTCCAAAAAGGGAACAGGATGAGTCGATTGCGGCAACATGATGTAAACGAGGGAAACAGGAAGGGAAAAGCACTTCGCGGTTTAGTTGTTGGCTCCTGGCGAGGTTCCCGAGGACTCTCTGGGGGCGCCGCGGATGACTAAACAAATTGTCCAGCAAGCGCCCGGAGAATTCGGGGGATGGGCCGAGTGGCAGTCAGGACGGCCGCAGAGCGTATCCGCAGATTCGAAGATTAAAGGAGGAACCCGGAAAGGCGCACGGGATCTCGAAGAGAGGCGCAAGGAGAAGCCCGAGACGGCCGGAATCTTCAAGATCTCAGGTGCTTTACAAGTTGTTGTTCCCCTATCGGGGCTTGCAGGTGTGGTGAACCAGAAAAAAAAGTGGAGGTCATGAGAGGTTCTGAGGCCGGAGTAGGCATGACATGCGCGATGGAGAGAAGACTTACGAGAAGCAGTTCTTGCAGATCATGCGGTGGTGATCTCACACGCCGTACCCGGTGGGGCGGCGGATCGCTTCGCTCATTCCGCTGGCCTATACTGAAAAGTGTGTAGTGGCCTTCGGCCAGATTAGGTAGCGAACAAGCGGCCTCGTCGGGAGGCTTCTTGGGGTCTTTTGGGGGGTCTCTCGGAGGCCTCGTAGAGGCATTTGGGGGCCTGTTGAGGCGATCTTGTTGGCCTCATGGGCCGTCTTAGGCAGTCGGAAGCCCCAAAAGGCGATAACGCCCAAGTCTTTCAAAAAAAACAGGGGATATGGGTGTTGGTATAATTCGCATTATTGTTAGTATTACCATTGCTGCTGTTGCTGAATTCTTGTCTAAAGGATAATGTTTGCCGATCCCCCTTGCCCGGTGCCCATGTTGCGTTTTTTCAAATGAAGTGGTCCTCCTGGGGCTCGCACCTTGCTTGTTGAAAATGTTGTTCAACATGTCTGCAGGAATCACGTTCTCGCGTGGTAATTCTTCGCGATGTATGAAGACGCCGCGCCCTCGACACTCAGTAATCACGCTCTCGTTCTGGCCTTTCTCACGATTGATTTGGGAATCGCTCTATCGCTCGAGACACTCCTGGGATTCATTCAGGACTGACGCTTCAGCGACCCGCTTGCTCGACCCGGCCGGCTTGGCCTGCCTTCCCGACCCGCCCGCTTGGCTCTACCTGCCCGATTCGCTCGTCTGGTTTTGCCACTTGTTGTCTGCTGCTAGCCCCATCCTGCTAATCTCTCTTGTGCTCCATCCGTCTCCCTTCCCCTTGTCCTGTCCTTCCTTTATCCCTCTCTTCCCTTGTGATCGTGGCTGCGCCAAATATGTATGGCAGGTCAGGAGGATATGCGCTCAAGGGTGTACGATCGAAGACGAAGAGGGCCGGTATCGAGGTCTTGGGATAGACGGGCTGAATGGCACGCGAGCAGGTAAGACCGAACAGTTTTAAAATGATTGCTGCCGAAAATGAATTAACAAACAGTTATTACTGTTGGACCCCGTGTATCCGCCCCGCCGCTCTCGCCTCGGCGCCGGTTGCACATCCTCTAAGATTGAGGCTCACGCTCAAGTGTTTCGGGGTTCCGCCCAAACGGGGCCACTGACAACAGCAACGCTCCCGCGCGACGAGTTCCTATCACTGATTCCACGGGGCACCATCGCTCGAGAAGTGCTCGCAATCTAGTACCATGAGGTTTTCCCTCATCAGAGCACTCTGCTTGCGGATGCGGCCGTTTCGCTTGAGACGCCCTCGCAATGCAGTCCCACAGGGGGATGTTTCAGGGCTGTCTTGCCGCCAATGGCGGATGTTGGAACAGTCGTTTCGCTTGAGATTTCTTCGCAATGTAGCACCACTGAAGGGGTCCTTCAGGACCAGGTTGCTGCTACCCGCGGATGCCAGAACCACAATGGGGTCCTTGGGTTGCTTCGCTTGAGACTTCCGAACAATTCAACAGCACAGCCTGGGAGGTCCCAGGACGCTCAGGCAGGGATCTGTGTTCGGGAAGCGTTTTCTGTTCTTCCACACCCAGGAGTCCCCAGTAAGCTCCAGGAAATATGTTTTGTGCATTGGTTCGGGGAGCGCGTTTCGGCTTTTTCGCCCCCAGGAGTCCCCAGGATACATGTTTCTGTATTGAGATCTTTGTTCGGGGGGTGCTTCTCGGCTCGTCCGACCCCAGGAAGCCCCCAGTAAGCCCCAGGGGGCACGTTCCTGTGTTGGGATATGTTTCTCGAGTCCCCACAGGCTTCGCCGCCCCGCTCCTGGGGCTCGCCTCCTTTGTGCTTGACATCTGTTGCCATGCAGTGCCCCTTTCCTGGGAGTCGACTGCTTTGTGCTTCACTGATGTCTCTATACGTGTTTCCCCTCGATGGGGGCTCGGCTCGTTGATTTGATGTATGTTCCTGTAGAGTGCCCCTCGATTGGGGCTCGACTCCTTTGTGATTTACCTCTGTCCCTGTACAGTGTCCCTCTCCTGGGGCTCGACTCTTGTAGATATTCACACGTGCACCCATCGATTGCCCTTGCCCTGGGGCTCGGAAGTTTTGCGTTTCTCATATAGCTTGGCGGTGGTAGCATGATGGACGCCTGTGACAGGTAGAAGTATGGTGCATGAGGGTAAAATGAGTGTTGTTCCTGTTGCTGCTGGTGTTGTCAATGTTGTTGCACTCTTGGAGAATCATCATTGTTGCTCCCCTCCAACCCGGCGCACATTGTTGTTCTCAATTGATGCCCACCTCGGAGTTCGCATCCTATTTTTTAGGAGGGAGTCTTCCTGCTCGAACTGCGTTGTTGTCACCCGGGCTGCAACAACAACGGTTCCCACCTGATACGTCTTCATAATGGATTCCAATATCGCGATGTTGCGCGGGACGTCATAGCAATGTATGGTTTTGCCACGTGCTTTCTGTTCCGAGCCCATCTCATGCTTCTCCTTCTGGTGCCCCATCATTCTACCGCCCCCTTGTTCCTTCCTTCCATCCTTCCTCGCTTCCCCAACCTGAGGCACGGAATACACGTTGTAGGCAAGAAAGGTTTACGCCGAAGCGGGTACGATCGAAGGCGAAGAGGTCGGGTACCGAGGGTTTGGGATGTAAGGTTTGAGTGGCACGCGAGCAAATAGGAGCGAACAGTCTTAACATGATTGCCGTTGTTGTTGGTGTTGTTGGACTCCCACTCTTGAATTATGATTATTGTTCGTCCCCCTACACCTGTGGACATTGTGTTTTTTCCAATTGAAGTGCCCCCCTCTTGGCTCGCACCCTGTTTTCTATCAAGGAAAAACATTCGTGTTTAAACTGAGCTGTTGGGTCCCGACCTACAGCGGCGACAGCTCCAGCCTGATACTTCCTCGCTTGTCGGACACTCCCATTATTGAAACGTTGGTTGTTGTTGGTGTCATTGTGCTTCATGTTTTCGGGGGTGGACAGGACCCCCACCCTGACACGTCGACTGGTGAATTGTCTGTGTTCTGTTCTCGGGAGGGCGCCGCGGCCGTCATTTTCTAGGCTTGCGCCCGCCAGCTTTGGGCCCGAGGTCGTTCTCACTAAACCACGCTTTGCTAAAGAGGGTTCTGTCCATCCTCGACCTCCTTCTTCCAGGACATGCTCGACATCTCGAGCGGGGCTGCGGCCGACATCGTCGCGGTGCCCGCTGGCGCGGCCGGTGGGCTCGGCGCGCCGCTGCTCGCCCGGCCCGAGGGCGGCGGGGCCGGCGCCGCCCCGGAGCAGCGAGGCTGGCTGCCATTCTCCCGGGCAGGACCACTCGGGCCGGGGGCGGCCAAGAGCGGGGACCTCAAAACGGGGTGGTGGAGGAGGAGCAGGAGGAGGAGGAGGAGGGGGAGTGGGGATTCGTGGTCACCGCACGGTTTTGGGACTCGGGTCGCTCTCCGAAGGTGTCTCGGTCGACTGGGGCCTCCAGGATCCCAAGGCCGTGCGGCGAAGGGCCGTGCGGTGAGGTCTCTTGGGGGTCCGAGGTCACTGCACGGTCTGTCACCACACGGTGCCAGGATCCCCAACAAGTGGGGGATGATGGCTAGGGGCGAGCGGATATCATGGCGGGGTCCATGATATTTCCCCAGATTGCATGGCGCCTCTTTCTACTTCAAAACGTCCCCGCCCCCCCCCCCGGGCCGAGCACGTGCCGCCAGCCATGAGTTGCGCCCCCCCTCTTGGACGCCCCCCTCCTGGCCGCCCCCGATCAGGCGGACGGCAACGGAAGGGGTCGTGGGGGGCCCTGAACGGTCGGACGGCCACGACGGGCGGGCAGGACACCCCCTGAGATCCAGGCGCTGCAGCTGTTTCGCACCGGGCGTTTTCGCTCGCTCTTGGGCCCGGGGACCCTCACAGATCGATTCGGCTCTGAAGCATCGGGGGCGGCAAACACGGATTTCATGGCGCCTCTTCTTATTTCATTACGTTCCGGCCCCCCCCCTGGGCGGCACACATGCCGCCGGACAAGATTTGCGCCCCCCCTCTTGGAAGCCCCCCTCTTGGCCGCCCCTGAAATATAACGCAGAAAGATGGGGTGCCGGGCTCTGGTCGTGATTCTTTGCGATGTTGAAATTCTTGTTCGGGCGGGACTAGTAGACTAGTAGGAAGATAAATCCGTTCCGAGCGTTCCGTAACGCTCTCAGAGCGTTCCGGGACTCTTTGAGAAGGCCGCGGCGCCCGAGACATCATCCAGAGCCGCTGGGTCTCAGAGATTCTCGATTCATCCTCACCCGAATTTACCTCGTCCTGGCTCCGTCTTAGTGGGGGGCCCTGATCGGTCGAACGGCAATGGGCGGGCAGGAACCACTCGGGCGGGCAGGACCAGCCGAGCGGGCGTGGGCAGGTCGTTGGGGAGTCCTGAGCGGCCCCTGGGCTGCAACCGCGGGCCGGAAGATCTGCGAGACATGCGCGCGTGTCTTCACCCCCCGCCCGATGCCCCCCTCCGTGAACGGACGGCCGGAATCGTCCAAGAGGGGATGCGGACAGGAGGTGTGACTGTGTCCGCGTCAGCACGTGGTCACACCGCCCAGTCAAAGAGTGTGTGTGTGTGCGTTTGTTTGTGTGTCTGTGTATTTGTGTTTTGTGGTATGTGTGTCCGTGTGTCAGTGTATCTCTGTGTCCAGGGGCCTCAAAGCAGACGGCCCATCCGCCAGAATAGATTTTTGAATCGTCTGCCCCCCCAGTAATTGTTCTGCCGCCGCCGTCGTCGTCATCATCATCGTCGTCGTCGACAACAGCGGGCCTACGCAGCACCCCACACCCAATTGGGCATGCGCAGCGCGTCGTCGTCGTCGACTACAGCGCTACAGCGGGCCTACGCAGCACCCCCCCCAAAAGGGCATCCGTCGTCGTCGTTGACTACAGCGGGCCTGCGCAGCACCCCCCCCTCCCACAATAGGGCATCCGCAGTGGCCGCGGTGTGTGGTTGTGTATCTGTGTGTCAGTGTGTCTCTGTGTCCAGGGGCCTCAAAAAATGTTTTAGGCAGACGAATGAAAACCCAGCCGCCAGAACTGATGGTTCAACCGCCTACCACCCCCAGCATTTTTTCTGCCGTCGTCGTCGTCGCGTACGGCGCACAGCGGGCCTACACAGCACCCCCCCACCCCCATAGGGCATCCGCAGTGCGTCGTCGTCGTCGCCGTCGTCGTCGTCGTCGTCGTCCTCGTCGTCCTCGTCGCCCGCCCTGGTCCTGGTCCTCGTCCTCTTGTTCGTCGTCATCGTCGTCGTCGTCGTCGTCGACTACAGCGGGCTTATGTGTGGGTTGGTGACACGGTGTGTTGGTGGGTGGTTGGGTGCGTGGGTGTGTGGGTGTGTGCGTGTGTTTGTGTGTGTGTGTTGTGGTTTGTGTGTGGCTGTGTGGGTGTGCGTGGCTGTGTGGCTGTGTGGGCGTGTGCGTGTGTGGATGCGTGAGTGGGTGTGTGGGTGTGTGGGTGTGCTCCTGTGCGCGTGTACGTGTGCATTCATGCGTGTGTTTGTGTGCGTGCGTGCGTGCGTGCGTGTGTGCGTGCGCGCGTGTGTGTGTGTGTCGGTGTGTCTATGTGTGTCTGAATGTATGCGTGCGTACGTGTGTGTGTGTGCGTGTGCGTGCGTGCGTGCGTGCGTGTGTGTAGTTGTGCGCGTGTGTGCGTGCGTGCGTGCGTGCGTGTGTGCATGTGTGTGTGTGTCTGTACGCGTGCGTACGTGTGTGTGTGTGTGTGTGCGTGTGCGTGTGTGCGTGTGTGTGCGTGTGCGTGCGTGTGCGTGCGTGTGCGGCGTGTGTGTGTCGTGCGTGCGTGCGTGTTGCGAGTGCGTGTGCGTGTGCGTGTGTGCGTGTGCGTGCGTGCGTGCGTGCGTGCGTGCGTGCGTGCGTGCGTGCGTGCGTGCGTGCGTGCGTGCGTGTGTGTGTGTGTGTGTGTGTGTGTGTGTGTGTGTGTGCGTGCGTGCGTGTGCGTGTGTGTGTCTTTGTGTGTGTGCGTGGGTGTGTGCGTTTTTGTGTGCGTGTGTTCGCGTGTGTGCGGATGTGCGGATGTGCGCGTACCCGTGTGCGTGTGCGTGTGTGCGTGTGCGGATGTCATGGCCCAGGCCATGAAGTCTCCCAGGTGTCATGGCCTTTTCTTGTTCTTCTTCCACTGCGATCCTTGCCGTCCGCGCACGTGGCTCGTGCAGCTCTCCGACCCCCCTCTTCACGGCCCCACGCTTCGGCCCACCAGACCCTGACTTTGGAGGGGTACCCCTGTGCTCCTCTTGCTGGGTGCGTCCAAAGTGGCGCCGCACCGCCAGGGGGCGCACGTTATTGTCGAGCAATGGCGAAGCGTCGTGTTTTGCCTACAAGCCCACCAAAGAATGTTCTGACAGCTTTTTGTGGTCTGCACGCGATGTTCTTAGAACATGTCTTGTTGAGGCTGTCTTGTTTTAACAAGTCGGGGTTATGTTGTAAGAGTATCGTGTTTGTGGTTTGAACATGTACTTTTTCTAAGAATCCGTGGTATGACTATATGAATGCCGGGACGGTCGGCCCCTGCTCAAAAGAGTGACGTCGCACCGCGAGGGAGTTCACGTTTTTGATCCACGTTCTCGTGGCCATGTTCCGACTGTGGACGTAACGTCGAGGCATGGCCTCAAGAAGTTGGTGATGCCCAGCCAAGTTGCAGGCACACAGCCGAGGCGCCGGAACAAAAAGCGTCCTGGGCTCAGCATATGGCGCTGCGGTCTCCGGGCCGCTCCTCGGACCTGGGTCGACCCAGGTCGGGGGGGCCCACGCGTGGCCGGGGCTCGCCGAGGCCAGAGCAGACCCCTCGCTCGCCTCCGGGCGCTCCTCGCCGTGGCAGGAAGGCTGTCGCAGGAGGGGGAGGAGGAGGAGGGGGAGGAGGGGGAGGAGGAGGCGGTCGAGGAGGAGGAGGAGGAGGAGGAGGAGGTCCAGGAGGAGGAGGTCGAGGAGGAGGAGGAGGTCGAGAAGGAGGCTCGGCTCGGCGCCCGACCCCCCTCCCCCACACAGCACTGGGGCCGGGATGCGGGGAGGCGCCAGTGCCGCCCTCCCCCGCCCACCCCACACCCGCCCGCCCTCTGGTGCGCTCCGTGCGTTGGGGGGTGGGTGTGGGGAGGGACGCGTCGGACGCGGGGGGGGGGGGGCGGGAGGGAGAGGGACTGGGAGGGGGGCGTTCGATGTCCGAGGTTTTTGTCGGTTCTATTCTCGACTGCTTTCCAGCCTTGGGATGCCCTCCAGCAGCTGCGCCTCGCCGCGAGCGCTCCGGGCGTGCCCGGATCGTCCCAGCGGCTGTAGGAGACCCGCGAGCTCCGGCCAGGAAGGCAGACGAGGATCGTTCGAGTCGGGCGCAGGGCTCGGCATGGCTCGGACGTCGGGCGTGTCCCTCTACAGGAGGAATACTCAACAAAAAGTAAAAAATAGTCAGGGGACGACTTTGTTTGACTATTTTGTCATAGATGTTGAATATGTTTGACTGTTTTTCATTTTTCATGCAAAATCTCCCTGTAGGGGAACAGGCCCGACCTAAGGCGAGGGCCATCGAGGAGCATCTTGGACCACCGTGCAGTACGAAACATACACGCGCGAAATCGAACAATGCTCGTGGAGTTGACGTCCGGGCGATGGCGAGAGGGGGAAGAATGGGCCAGAGGGGGAGGGTGGCTACGAACTCTGCTGCATGCAGCCGGTTTCGGTCCCTCCGACACAGACGCTTTACTTTGGCGCCTTCGGCGTTGGGAGGCGCCAGGAAGACCAGCTCCGAGCGCTGATTCGCTACTCCAGCCTTTGCCATCTCCCTTCCCCGTTTCGCCTGAACCGAGAGAGGGCCCATTATCGATCCGAGAAGTCGGCACTGACTTGTTGTTTGTTCCCCAAGGAGCAAAGCCCGTTCGCAAGGCCATCGTGGCAGTGCAGCCGAAGACCCTGAATTCGCTGGAGCGCACCTACTTGGAGTGGGTTCACTTCGTAACGCTCTTGGCGACCGTTGGAGTCTTCCTGATGCACGCGGGTAACGAGCGAGGCATTGGTCGTGTTTTGGTGTTGGTATCTATTACGTTGATTGCGAGGGTGCATTACGTCTTCACTTGGAGAGCCGAGGCGCTGGACCTTAAGAAGGATATCGAGTATCACGATCCAGTGACGCCAATCCTGCTGGTTGCAGGCATCATTGTCTGCGTATCGTGGTCCAGTCTGGGCGCAATTGGTGCAATTGATTTCAACACGTAGGATCGCCACTCACGTGGCTGCAGGGCAGTCCAGCAGCACCTAGGAATAAGTATATAAACATTCGAGCAGTCCTAAGGAATAGGTGAAAACCCTAGCAGTACCTATGTACAGTTGGACACTCAGTGCCTGCCTTCGCCTGCTGCCCGCACTCGCGGCGGTGTACGAAAAGAGCCCAGTCAGTTTCTCAATACTATCCTGTCCCTCTCCCGTTTGTCCCCGCTATTGTTCCTGTTTGTGTTGCTCTTCTCGTGCCCTTGCTGTTGCTCCTGCTCCTCTTCCTGCTGCTGCCCAGGCTTACTCTCCTGCTTCTGTCCCCCTCGTTCGTCTCCTGCTGGTGGCCAGCAAAGCTGGTGCGGTTGTCAACATGCCGTTAATGTTGGCCTCGGCTCCCCTTTCTCCCCCCTCCCCCCCTCCAGGACGGCGTTCGCTTCCTCGGCCACTCCGGCCAGCCTGTGATGGACCTGCCCCAGGAGGTGGAATGAGATGTGGAGGTAAGCGGATCGAGGGAGATGGGGAGGATGGTATTGAGGAGTAGGTGTAGGGACGGCCCGTGGAAGGGGACGAGGCCGTGGCTTTCCGACACGCCGCGCCGCCATAGACCGATGAGATTTCGCTTCCTTCTTTCAGGGCCACTTCGTCTTGAGAGGGCGAGTTGGGCTGTCCCAGGGCCACAGCAGCAGAAGCACTCTTAGGCTGGAGGATGAGGAGGCTGGAGGCTGGAGGAGGAGGAGGAGGAGGAGGAGGAGCAGGAGCAGGAGGAGGGGGATGGGGGAGGGAGCGGAGGGGAGGAGGGGCTGGAAGGGGGGGAGGAGGAGGAGGAGGAGGAGGAGGAGGAGGAGGAGGAGGAGGAGAAGGAAGAGGAGGAGGAGGGGGAGGAGGAGTATGGGCAGGCAGGGGGGAGAGCAGCAGGGGGCACAGGAGTGGAGGCAGCACGAGGGCGAGATGAGAATGGGAGAGGAGCAGAAGCAGCAGCACAGTTGCAGCAGGATGGGAAGCAGGAGCAGTCCTCCTCCTCCTCCTGCTCCTCCTCCACCTCCTCCTCCTCCTCAGGATGGGAAGCAGCAGCAGCAGCAGTTCAAATGAGCTCCGCGCTGGTTCCAAGGCTCCACTATATTGGAAGCCGCCCCGCAAACGCTGCACAGCGATATTGTGCAGCTGCGGGTCCCTTTATGCCGTGTTCAACGCAAGTGTGCGTTTGTACGGAGCGCGAGTGTGCAATGCGAGTTGTGTGCAGCGCAAGCGCAGTGTGAAATTACAGCCTCTCCCCTACAGAGGGGCGAGCGCGGGGCCGTGGATCAACCGGGGAGGGGGGGGCGGAAGGACGCGAAGGACAGGATGGAGGATGGGCGAGGAGAAGGGAGGGAGGGAGGAGGCAGGGGAGGAGGCAGGAGGAGCGCAGGCGAAGGGAGAGGCAGGAAGGTGACGGACGAGGCTGAGAATGGAGGGAGCGAGCACGGACCGTGAATGTCCGGGGTGGCTTGGGCTGCGCGCCTTCGGAGGCCCTGGCAGTTAGGTCGTGCCCCGCCAGAGAAGCCCAAGGGAGCACCTGGTCGTCGTCGTCGCCGTCGGCCTTCGACATCTTCGGCGACGGAGAGAGTGGGGAGGACGGAGGAAAGGGAGGGAGGAAGGAGAGGGCTTCGTCGGTGGGCGGCAGGAAAGGTATCTGATAGAGTGCCCGACATGATTTAGACACCTTGAATTCCTCGCGGGTTTCAAGATCGGGCTTCCCGGAAACATATGATAACCAGTGGTTTTGTGGCATGGCGTTTCAAAACAATCTGCGTTTGCGCTCTCGCGAATTCTTGAGGAGACCATCTGTTGTCCAACATGAGCATCAAATGCGACCAAAAGGGCCTCGCGCGCGAATGTCATAATCATACGAACGCTTTTGCCTGCGTGCTGGGGGTGGGACTCGATCCCCGTCAAAGCGTACAATGTGAACCACTCGCGCCCGTGCGCCGCGCGCATGGCGAAATCTTTACAGGACGTTCATCACCGACACGCGGGCACAATCATCGTTACTGGCGTGACCAGCATCGACGCCGTCATTGGCCTTGCCGTTGTCATCGCCATCATCGCCACCCGCATCACTACTACCACCATCATGTATTCCATCGTCGACGTCGCCATGATACCCCGCCCGTCCGAGTCACCGACTTGCGGTGAAATACCCGCGCGTCAGCGCGACATTCGAGACGCGTTGGGAAGTTTAAAAGATGCGCCAGCCAGCGCTAAGCAGTCAGCGCAATCGCCGCCGCATGGGCTATCAAACAAGCGTAAGTTTGGGTAGTTGGGGTGGTTGCGCGGGCAATGGAGTTGACATCTCGTTGCGATCAGTTGCACAGCGAAGAATGCTCCGCATAGGTTGCACCACGTAGACTGCACAACATACATTGCACCACGTCGGTTGCACCACACAGACTGCGCACCACGTATATTGCCCCACAGCGTTGCACCACATAGATTGCGCACTACGTCGGTGGCACCACACCATTGCAACGCATCGTTTGCACCACAGATATTGCATTGCATCTGTTTCACGAGATACACTGCACCACAACTATAACACCACATACATTGCCCCACAACATTTGAACAACTGATACGGCACATCGTAGCTGCACAACATACATTGCACAACACCTATGGCACAACATATACTGCACCGTGTAGATTGCGCCACGCACATTAAGCCACTTCGATTGCACAAACTAGATTGTTAAACGCCTACTTCGGGGCCCACGCGAGCTTACATTTGTGTTGTTCAAAATGGTGTTCCCGTTGCGTGTTTGGTATCATTTCAGGATCCACGCTTTGCTCCCGTCGTTCATAATGGCGCTCTCGCCCCAGTGGGTGTCACACTTCTGGATCCCAGTGTTTCCTCGTCGTTGTCGACCCCTTTTTTTCCCCTCCCCCGCCTTCTTGTCCTCCTGCTACTCCCGTTTCCCATGTTTTTGCTGTTGTTGTTGCTTCCCCTGCTCCGCTTCATTGTTATTCCTACACCTCTTTTTCCTCCTCCTCTTTCTCCTTCTCCCCCTCCTCATCCTCCTCCTCCTCCTCCTCTCCTCCTCCTCCTCCTCTTCCTCCAACCCCTTCTTCTTCTCCTCCTCCTCCTCCTCCTCCTCTTCCTCCTCCTCCTCTTCCTCCTCCTCTTCCTCCTCATCCGACCAATCCTCCTGCTCATCCGCCACCTCCTCCCCCCTTCCTTTCCCGATGTACAAAACTCGTCGCCTGATTCGATCTAACACCATGAGGCCACGTGGGGGGCCCAGGACCGATATGATACCCGTCAGCAGCATGGCATAATCGACACCGCAGCAGGCTTGCGCCGCGCTGACGTGGCCGCGACCCCAGCGCGGGCCTTCGATGTTGAACGCCCGCCCTTTGGCCGGGAAGCGGCCGACATCGACCGACCCGCGCCATCGGAAGGCCGCGATCCTTCGAGGTCGAACGACCCACGCGGAGCCAGAGGCCAGCGCCCATGTCGTCGCGGTTGACCTGCTATACCCATAACAGGGACGCCCGCGATTCGATCGGCTCTGCGATGCGCGGAGGTATTCGCGCGCGCGCGCCACCATGCCAGAAGGCCGCCCCCAGCCGAAGAGGCCGACGACGCTCGGCGGCGGTAGCGGCGACGCCGAGCACGACGACGCCAAACGTGGCGTTGAAGACGGCGGCGGTGACGCCTGCAGACCCAGACGTCCGATGAAATGATTTTTCCTTCCGCGCCCCAGGGGCCTCGAGCACTTCCCCTGGGCCCCCGGGGCAGTCCTTCGTGCTAAATCCGTTTTCGACGGCCCTGGGGCCCGGTCACGGGCCCCGTGAGGCTGAAGTCCAAGGAGAAGCGCCAGGATTGGAACATTCATATCGTCGCAGACTTAGGAAGGCGGCGACGACGACGGCGCCGAGGGCGGCGGCGGCGGCGGGCCGTGGCGGCCGCGGCCCTCCGCGGAGGACCTGCTCCGCGGCACGCGCCTCGGGGCGCCGATGAGCGCTCTGCAGCTGAGCCTGGAGGCGCTGCACCTGGCGCCCACGGCTCCGGACCAGGGGTTTGGGGGAGGGGCGGGCCGCCTTTCCACGTGCTCCAGGTGGGGTCCGACTCGGTGGGGTCGGAGGATCGCGCCGCCTCGCCGATGCATCGTCGATGCGGCGGGGTGTGGAGCCCGCTTTCCTTCGAGACCAGCAGTAGCGGCATCACCAGCAAGATCAGCAACATTCGGCGCATTCGTGGCAGCAACAGCGAGAACACCAGCAGCTATATCAGCAGCGTCTGCAAGACCTGTAGTAGTAGTAGTAGTAGTAGTAGTAGTAGTAGTAGTAGTAGTAGTAGTAGTAGTAGTAGTAGTAGTAGTAGTAGTAGTAGTAGTAGTCGTAGTCGTAGTCGTAGTCGTAGTCGTAGTCGTAGTCGTAGTCGTAGTCGTA